TGTGTAGAGTTTAAAGGGTAACATAGTTCCTTTATGTATGTATACACAATATGTTTATTGCACATTTCAAAAGAGACTGTATAGTCATTATCAGGATTTATTTCGTTTTGTTTTTGCTTCAACTTTTTTTCAACTATCAAATTTGAGCATAAAATATTTTTTATATCGAAATCGTGTTTACAGCATATAAAATGTTATGAGTGTATTCCAACATATGAATGAAAGCCATGCCTTGACACTAGACACGTTTTAATGTTTAAAAAAGTACAATATGAAAAGCTCATACTATGAATGAACGTAACATCTAAACTGATAGTCTCTACAAATTATTGACACGTGCACATGTTTACATTATAATGATATTAAGTATTTTACTCAAAGATGGGAATAGTATATCCGTAAGTCAAACCATATCAAATAGGCGATCATGACGCCTAGGTGGAAAGGGTCATAAGTCTTTTGTTTGATAGTTAGTTTTAACGACCAAATTGTAAACACTACAGGGAAATAAACAACCATTACGAGGAGTATCCAGATATTCTAGCCTTCAGTATTCCTAGACTTAGGATTAGGAGTATTCTTAGACTGCCTTGATTATTCATATTTAATTATGTTTTTACCTTGTGACAAACCAAAAAATAAAATAAAAACACATTTCAAAGTTGTTTTTTATCTTGTGAAATTTAAAGGTACGTTTTATAAGGGGGATTGTCAATTACTAATTTATGCAACGTCGATGCCATATAAATGAGGCTGGTATGTAATTGTCTGTATAATATTATTTAGAGGTTTCCCTATGTGAGATGTTTGTTTCTGAAATGCCATTGCGCATTTATTGTTCCGCTTAAAATGAGGAACACTGAAAGTTGTTTTGATATTTATAACCATACATGATTTTATGTGCCCTAGACAGCTTTACATGTAGCATTGTGATCCACATCCATGTAAAGAGACGAAATGGATTGTATTTGAACATATTTTATTCACAAAGCAATACAGCAGTACCATTTTAAATTAATTTTTAAAAAGCACGAATTAAATTAGCACTTATCTACTAATATCTAGACTTAATAATGTAAATGTTATGCGTTTGGAATAATTTGAAAAGTTCAGCTTGTTCATTTAAAGGACGTGATTACAAATTGGTAATCGTTATAATTATACTATAATAAAGATTTAATAATGAAAAATATTTACTGCCAAGACTTTTATATGAAACAAGTGTTAAAACATTCACAAGATCATAACTTTTTGTATTCAATATCAAAATCAGTACAAGTCAAATGACGATTGAGTTATTGTGAATGTGCAGATCCGTTGTCAGATTTCAATATCCGAAAGTTCTTCCTGCACTACACAGAGTTAAAAAGACCGTTCATTTTTCCAATTGACTGTGAAAGAATGTATAATAGTAGGTATAATCCAGCGTTATAATTCTGCCTCAGGGGATGCATATTTATCGCTTCTTTACCGGGTTCTGGGAAATACATTTGCGAGTAATCTTATAATTAAATGAGATTGCCTTATTAACGATTCAAACAGAAATACACCTTAAGCAATCATCAATCAAACATATTTTAACATACCTTTATTAATTTGACTTTTTAATGTCTAGATTAAACTAGAACTAGATTATCACTCAACGACAAGCATGGATGTTTAGTTACATTTGTAATATATTCGGAGAAAAACAATATTTAAAAGACGATTACCAAACAAAATACTGTATATATAGCCTCAAGCTAAGTCAATATTACTAAATTTATAATCGTTACTTCATTAAATTATAAATGTTTATATATCATTGTGTACAGTTTTAATTAACGATTTTGCGAGTTATCATAATTATAAAATTGATATATTGTTAATTCTATTATTTTACCACGTAACATGCTATAAAAAATTTCCAAGAGGGACCTACAGCTATTTATATCATAAAAACGATTTTATAAGTTGCTTCTTTCTTATATATGTATGATTTATATAGATGTATTAAATAATATTAATTTTACTTTACATTGTGCTTCCTTACTGATTTGTAATGTACGACATGTCTGTATGCAACAGCAAGAATTGTCCGTGAGAAATAATATGGTAGTTTAAAGGAAAATATTATCCGATTGGTCGTTTGAAAGTTGCCACAATGGCAAGTTAAATATTCTAAATTGTGTTCATTTCAAAATACAAATTAGTTCAGAGTCAATAAGAGCGTTGTCACGCATTAATTTTACATATACCTATTTATCAAGACTTGCAAGATCATAGCGTGTAAGTTTCATTTCTTATCATAACGTAATGCAAAAAAAAAATACTTTTATAACGGTTGAGTATATTTATATGGACGAATTTGTATTCCTTTGTATTCTATGTAGCTGTTTTTGAAATTCAATGTTGAATGTCATTGTTGCTATGTGATGTGGGCTTCAAAATTGACCTATCTCTATTATGTGGTAGCATAACTTATTAATCATACAAATAATTAAATGCTCTACGATCCATTCTTCATTTGTCAAGGTGATTTTATAGGACATGTGTAATCTTATCAGTAATTTCTACAAGGAACTACTTAACAAAATGTGTGTTTGTTTTTAGAATTGTAAAGGAAACAAGTAACATGTCAGGAAATTATGGTTAATGTTAAAATTACAACAAACCGAGTATATCTTCAAGTCTTCATTAACAGTCTAGTTATTAGTTTAGTACTTATACATATGGAAGATAGACAGTCAGAATAAAGGTGTATAATTGTAGAAAAATCAAATTTAGCCATTTCACTATCAAAGCTATATTAACTGCAAAGAAATATAAATAGTTTGTGTTTCACAGGGTTATCATTTTTCAAATAGAAAGCAACGTATCGTTTGCACTAAGGGTGCTTAAACACTAGGTGGGGCACATCAAACACATAAGCATGTCGACCAAAACATAAAGATAAATCCATATGTAAAGTCAGGAAATATAAAACTTTCGACATTTTTACACCGATGAACCATTTCTTTGTGCAAGAAATGGGATAGTCGGTGATTTTATTTTTACAATATGGGCTTGAATTATAATCTACACCTTTTCGGTTTGTCTTCATAGAAATATTGATCTCACAAAAAATAATTCTTATGTTGCATTGTTTTCTTCTTATAATAAGCATTCATGACAATGTGTTAACAAACCGTTTCGAAAACTAATTCATAAAATGGTCTTTTTACAGGGAATATATTTATCCAGCTACACTTATGACAGCTAGTTCAACACAGTTACAGATAAATCACACAAATACATTAATGTCAAAAGTAATGAAAAATTTCTCTTAGCGCGTTCACGGTCATTTGATAAATTCGATTGTACAAAAAAATCAAAATCGTCTGATGCAAGTATATTGAGCAAAATTTGATAAATTGCCGTCAAAATATTTTACTTTTTTACGCAATATCGATAAGATTATTCATGTATATCTTTTACTTTATGTACTTTATATAACACTATTCTACCGAAATGAAATATTTTCCCTTGATTTTATAAAATGCCACAGTAAATAGGGATGGGCGGGTTATGGTAGGGCTGGGTGACAAAAATTATGTTGTTGTTTTTTTTTCATATAACTTGTGGAATACATCATATTTCTAGATTTGTCATAGTTCAACGGTTTGTGCGAATAACATGGACATTGCAAAATAAATACATATATCTTTCGTATGTTTTATATTTTAAATAAGAACTGATTTTCTATATAAGAAAAAGAACGTAATGCTTTGCTCTCAGAGATCTTATATGATTAATTGTCAGAAAATGTAGAGAAGAATATTTGATTAATATATCAAATAAATTTAATTTGGAGAAAGCTGAGAGATTTAAGTGACAACAAGTGGTAACAAATCTAGGGTGCTTGTCAATTAGGGTGTAACAAAGCAACGATACAATTGGAATGATTGTTGTAGGCAATGGTCTGTACATTTTCAATGGTAGATTTGCTTTTAGAATTGTCTGTTTCTGACGAGATATTTACTGGCCAGTATACGGTCAGCTATGAGCGTTTTTAAGACAATTATTTTAACTGGCTATTGCGTATTCTTTGCGTCGTTGAGTTATATCTAACATCTATTTCATGGTTTAAAGACACGTTATTAAATTTGATTTTTGAATTATAAAATTAACCCTTATAGAAAAGATACAATCTAACTGATATGTTGGCATGTCACAGTTTGTGTTTGTGCATTTTGTATTATACTGCAGGCATTGACTTGTTCATTTAATACGGTTCCATTAAAAATTGATAATGATTTCCATTTCCAAGATTAGTTTGAATATATAAAACGAAACATAAACAAAACAGGGGATGAGGTTTATAACTAACATAAGGATTCAGTAAAGAACAAAAAAATGTAGTACTAAGTCAAGACTCACGTCTTAGACACTATTATCAGCCTTACTGTTCAATTTGCTTTAAATTTTATAAACATACTATTAATGATAATATATTTACGAAATATACCTCATTGCTGTTATCTGTCAAAATTGACCCATCTAACAAATAAGCTGAGGCTATAAGAATCAATTTTCTGTAGTCAAGGTGATATGATAAATATTATGATATTCTAGAACATGTGTCTTATCTTGGAATGACATTTACGTACAAGGAAATACTTAAAAGATTATTAAAAAATACGAATGCTCAAAATTTATGATTTGTTTTTTTGCAGACAGGAAATTACGTGAAATATGATATGGTTGTTGTATATATGAAGACACAATAAATCAAATGCATAATAACACTTATGACAAGGACGAGCGCAATGCATGGTTTGAGAGAGTACATGGGAAAACCAATCTTTTTTCAGTTGTGTATTTTTTTTGTAATTTCAGACAATGCAAGTTAGAAAACTGAATGCAGACACAATAATGTTTATTTCGTTTCTTTCCAGAAAGATTTGTTTTCAGTAAGATTTGTTTCGCAAAAAAAATCAAAACAACGTTTCAACTTAACAAAAGTTGAAACACGTGTGTTACGAAACGGTTTTGTACGAAATAAAAATTTAGTGAGTTACCGTTCTTTATAAAACCACGCCGTTTGTTGAAAACCAATCTAAGCTTGTTAAAAGGGTTATGTCAAGCTATAATGTAAGGAAACAGCTTATTCGTTAACTTTTTATATGTATTTTCTTTAAAATCAACTTTACACTGTTTATTCTAGTCATGTTTGTAAGAATTTTATGTTTCTTTATGATTAGGTTTCGCCCTAAAATATGTTCGTACTCGGAGATTCGTATTTAAAGGGGCGAAAGGTTACGTTCGTACTCGACTAATGTCGGATTCGTCCTCAGCTATTTCGTACCTTTATATTTATAAGGTTTATGGACCTTTATGAATGCATATAATTAGATATAAATAATTCAAATGTTAGATATTACTTCACACTGTCATTTTTGTTAATGGTTAATGTCTAGACTACATATCTTTTAAGAATTTCGTGAAAATTGTAAGATCAGGAACAACTATGCCATACTTGTAGGTATTATGTTACCTACGTACATGTTAACTGATTAAGTATTTTTGTAACCTCAATTTAACTTGTTCTAGTCTTTGTTAGCTGAAAGATTGTAAATTAATAATTTCATTATGTTTTTTGTTTGGTTTCAGCTTTTACGATAATAAACAACGTTCTGAGCTCGATCTGTTACAGTAAAAGATTAGCTGACACCAACCAGACGACAAGTATGGCTTCTCATGTTGACAGTCAGCCAGAAGATGAGTCAAAGAGAATACGCAGTCACACGGAGAAAGCAAAGAAGATCTATGATGAAAAGGTCACCGACTACCTATCAAAAATGCAAAAGGCATGGGATACCGTTCAAAGACTTATGGATACACAGAACTCATTTACCAAATTAGAAGAGTTGAAAGACCTACAAAAGAACCTTTGTTTCTGTTACGGAGAATACAGAATGTTAGCTCGTGAATTTGTGGCATACTTAGAGGGAATTCGTACTCAAGATAGTTGTCAAGAACTTTCAGACCACCGTGTAAATGACCAAAATAAAGACATAATTGTAAATGAGGTCTTCGATAAAATAGAAAGTAAGATAACCAATTTATTGCTAGAAACCAGATCATCATCTTCATCATTAAGAAGTGGTAAGTCGAAATCATCACATTCTGCAGCAACCCAAGCGAAGGCTAAGGCACGTGCAGCATTAGCACGTATGACATTGATAGAGAAAGAAAAAGATCTGAGAAGGAAACAGGTGGACATTGAAAGTGATTTAAAAGCATTAAAAGTAAAAGAGATATATGAAGAGGCAAAGGCAGAAGCGGAGGTCTATGAGGAAGAGATTAGTGAGTGGCATGCGAGTCAGCACGGTCATAGTGAGAAGAGTGTTCTCAACGAGCAACATCAAACTACTAGTAGTCAAATTCAACTTCAAGTTCAGTCTGTTGAAGAGAGAACAAGACAGTACGTTTCATCACTGCCAGAAAGATCAGTTCAATCTTCTAAAGATCTCAATCCTGCGGCAACAGAATTTACTCCAAGAAATGTTGACACAAATGTTACCTTCGAACTATCACGTTTTCTTTTACGGAAAGATCTTATGTTCTCTCGCTTAACCAAATATGATGACAAACCAGAGAATTATGCAGTCTGGAAAGCTACATTCCAGAGTGTCGTGCAGGAACTTGGAGTGTCCTACCGTGAGGAGTTCGACTTATTAGTGAAATGGCTTGGTCCAGAATCTGCCAGGCATGCGGTCAGCCTTAGAGCATCTAGCTCCTCAAATCCTACAAATGGTGTAAATCGACTTTGGGAGAGATTGGACGAAAGGTTTGGTTCCCCTGAAATAGTTGAGGTAGCCCTACGGAAAAAGATCGACAACTTCCCTCGAATAGGACCCAGAGATAGTAGAAGGCTTTATGACCTTGCAGATATCCTTGACGAGATCTTAAACAATATGGATGACCCCATGTACAAGGACCTCCTGTCATACTATAATACCTCGCTTGGAATAATTCCTATAGTAAACAAGTTACCACACAATCTTCAAGAGAAATGGACTTCTCATGCTGCAAAATATAAGAAAGACAACTGTGTTCAATATCCTCCGTTCTCATACTTCACTAATTTCATCCGAGAGATAAGTAAGATTCGTAATGATCCTGGATTCATGTATGAACTCAAACAAAATGCATACACTCAACCAAATAGGAGAATGTCCTCCATGAAAAAAGGGGAAGGGTTTTAAAATTTCCCCAGCAGGAAAAGTCCAAATTTTGGGGAATTTCACCGGCAGGGGATGGAGATTCCCGGGCCCCAAAGGGGAAAAAGAGATTTGTGCTTTTTTATAAAATTTAGGAAAATAACTTGAATTTTATGCCCTCTTTTTCCCGGGGAAGCCCCTTATCGGGTTTGAAAGAAGTTCATTTAGAGACAAGGAAAAATTTTCCCTTTAAAAAGTTTGGAACAGTCGGGTTTATATAGTTTGGAAGGCCCCTAAAAATGTCGTGCAATGTGTGCAAAGGGCAGCATGCTACAGCTTTACATTTCAATCATACTTCTTCTACAGTTTCGAATGGCGGGGAGAGATCAGAATACTCAAATTATCCAGAGAAGAAGGTGAGTGAAATTCACACAGCTTGTGCACAGGTATGTGGGAATATGTCAGGTGGAAAATCATGTGCCAAAGTGGTTTGTGTAAATGTGTTTCCATGTGCAGAACCAGATCGAAAATTAAAGGTGTACGCCTTATTAGACGATCAAAGTAACAGATCTTTAGTAAAGTCAGAGTTTTTCAATTTCTTTGATGGATCTTATGAAGAGGTTTCTTATTCGCTTTCTACATGCTCAGGCAAAGCCGATACATATGGTCGTCGAGCCACCGGTTTCATAGTGGAGAACCTAGATGGTACTAGCTCTCATGAACTCCCAGCTCTTACAGAGTGCAATCAAATTCCTGATATAAGACAGTCAGGGGTGTAACTTATAGCAGTTATCATTTTTATAACTGAATTAAGTTATAAATTTAAGATCTACAGGTTGCTTCCCTTTGGCTATCCTTCACTTTTATATCATTTCTATAAATAGGTTAACAAGGGCACTAAATCACGCACGCTTCATTTTATTGATCTTATGTCCTGATAAGCTCCCTTTACTTTATTGTTCACAGGATTTTCAGTTCAAGATAAAAAAAATGAATTTTAAATATCTTTATGACAAAGTTGGTTAAGTCATTGGGAAGCAAGATAACTGAAAATTTTAACGAGTTTGAGTCTCACTTCTAACTTTTTCCCTATTTTTTCCAAGTTTACTAAAGATGAACATGCATTTGAAAATAAAGGTAGTTTTGTTATACTATCGTATGATTTTAATATACCGGTAATAATATTTTTATCCTGTGTATTGTATATATTGCAGTAGTCATGTACTAGTGCAGTGCACTAGTATTTCAACAATACACTTTGCATTTCTTTACGTCAAGAAGAAATGTAACATACACGTATTCGTCTTACAGAAAATAATTATTATTTTCGCGTATAAAGTACAATCCGAACCAGCAGGGGTGAGTAACCAGAAGCATTCGTTAGAGTAACGATCATCGTTAAGCCTTGGTTAAGATCTAGTTAGTAATTTACCCTCTAACCTAAAACGTTCGTTATACCAAAAATTCTAACTAAACTGTCGTTAAATAACGAATACTTCGGAGTACACGTTAGACCTTCGTTGAAGGAAAAACAACGTGTGAAGCTCTTTCAAGAAACTTTTTATGAGTTTAAATTATTTTATAGCGTATTTTCTTCCTATTTTCCTGATAATAAGTCCTTGATATGGTGTTACAATCTGTATATGTCTTAATGTGTAAAGTTATTATTTATTTATTAATTTATTATTAGTATTATTATTATCATCATCATTATTATTATTATTATTATTATTATTATTATTATTATGACTGCATTCTTTTTCAAAATAATACGTTACCGTACTCAATAATCTTGAGTGAGCATTTTCCGTAAATGATTTTTAGAATAATTCAAAATATCTTTATGCAAGTGATGTTGTTTTTTCATTCCGCAGACAATGGCCGCCATGCTGCTAGAGTATTTAGATAACTGACCGACTTTTGACTCTCATATATTTGAATGCTTCTTAGGAGGTTGATTAATTTCTTCAACTAACATAGAGAACACAAAGCGACCTGTTGATCTCTTGATAGTTACAGTAGCCCTTATCTCTATACAAAAATTATATATATATATAGAATCTAGAGATAAGGGCTATATCACTAATATACGTATATTTTATAAAAGCCAGCAGATGGCGCTAGGGCAGGTTTCTTATTAATTTTATGCATGCTTCACTTCAGGGACCCTTTTTCAAAGATTTAAGATTAATTACCAAATGCATTAAAACAACACTTAGCATGTTTGTAGGAATATATATTTTTGATAAAGATTGACCAAAATTATTCAAAATATAACATTGTAAAGTGTATTTCTGGAAAAAAATACTGGCTGTCAAATTTGAAATTTGAATTTCCCTGGGAGGAGCCATGTGATCATTACAGGTCATGAACCTTCAATAGTAAACAGAAGCACGTGGCAGTGTTTGTTTCAAGGAGAGATATTTGTAGCAAACCATGTATATTTCAGGGAAGGAGATTTTCAGCAGACGACACATTGGAATGCTGAATACATGATAAGAAAAAAAACAATAACTTTTACTGACTTTTTTTATCAAATCCAACAAATTTACAATAATCCATTAATATAAGATTTTTTTTTTAAATTTCAAAGTACTGATTTAACTTGTATTTGAATGGTTTAACCTTCATGAAAACAGTAAAAGTTACTTCCAGGTATATTTCATTTACACTATATTTTGTTGTAAATATTTTGTAGTCAAAAACTACATTTCAGTAAAGGAAACTGAATGTTGCATATAAGCATAAAAATTTTATTCATTAACAGCTTAAAGATATTTTAAATCCCTGTCAAGAACATTTTAGCATGTTGTTCCTACGTAAGGCACATCTTTTGGATTTGGATATAATTGTCTGACTTGATGAAGGACACATGCAGCATTCCAGTGAAGAAAAAACAACTGACTTCAAAATAATGTCTTTAATTAATCTTTGAGTTATATAAAACATCCATTAAACCTCTCCTGTGTAAAATCAGCTGTTTTGTTTACATTCTCTCTGCAGGTTAACACTGCATGCTATTTATAGTTCAGGGTTTATAACAGACAGTTTTACAACACCCACAAAATACTCGCTGCCGCGATTATACTTTTCTTATTTGTGTTATCTCGAAACAAGCTAACACTATTTGTATTGCATGTATAATATACATCACATTCTTGCATGTATGAAATCAAATAGATGTAATATGACATTAAAGTTTTGAATTTTTAATAATTAAAAGGCTTAGAACTTATACTAGTTCTATATACAAAGTGAAATTAAAGAAATCAGCATAAACGCATTCATGTAGATTCCACAATGAAAGAGTGTAGCACAGTATATGGATAAAGTTTGACGCTTTTGGTTACAATAAATTCAGTGGAGTATATTAAGAAAACCATTATATACCTTTCATGTACTTTAAATTAATGGTTAACCTCTATTTTGATGAAAAGTAGAGTTTATTAATCGGAACTTGCTTTGTTTCCCAATGTAATTTTCAAGCTAACAACATACGAAGATTTATTAATATTTTCACCAGTGTCTAACAAAGGTTATGTAAAGACAGTTTTACAGAAAAGCAGTTCATTCCTTCATTTGCATCATGAAAATCAAAACAAAAACACGTTGCTATTTACCGCCAATATTTTTGA